CGACCGAGCATTAAATAAGGATTAAATGTATGTAGGTATCGGTGCACAGAAATATGAAGACAACCGTGCAGTGGGCGGGACACTTGGCTTAGAACCCGCCGCGGTAACGAACTGATAGCCAAGAGCAGTTGGCAGCAGTGTTGCTAAAAATCATACGTCAGACAGAAATGTTTAGAAATTATGTGGAAGCCTGCTTCCGATGCGTCAGGAATACAGGATGGAGAGGAGGTGACGAGCGCCAGAAACAATACTGTTTTATTTTAGCGCAGAGATATTTCTGGGGGCACTATATTTTAACTCGACTCTCTTTCGAGACTACATAGAACAAATATAATATACAGCAAATCGCGTTAACTCTAGTAATAACACTTGTGTTCTAGTGGACAGAAGATATCGCCGGCACTGCGGGGAGTTTGTAACCGAATAGTTTTTACCGAAACTGAACAAAACGGTCGTTTCGTGGCGTAATTCGTTGTACACTTTTTGTTAATCAAGAGAAATGGTTATTGTGTAAATATAACTAGTCCCTAAGGGTATTTTTGTGTAAATTTTATAACAAAAGTTATTAAGCTTTCGGACCGAGATATTTAAGCTGTAGCTGAAATAGAAACGTATCAATATCATAGTTTTACGTTTCTTTCACAGGCGTGTTACTAGTTAAGTCTTAGTTAAGTAAACGAGTTACCATAATATTTCGAATATAGTCAGACATCAAGATTCAAGAATTTAGTAATAGAAAATCTGCCTGACTGTACTAAGGTTATTTTCGATATTTATTCTTATTCTCATCAATGAGACACACCGAATCTTGTCAAAAACATTTTAGCAGAAAACAAAGACGTTTTTATGCCACTCGTTGGAGATAGATATTGACGTTAACATGACATTGTCTTTATCACAATGCATTAAGAGCTGTTTTTGCAGTTCAAATTGATGTGATGTGATTGTATTCAACACAGATTGGGTGTTTATTACTGATTATATTAATTTTCACATAATGCGTATGTATTTTAATCATAATTAACGATCACGATAGTTTTGTTGATAAAGACAATGTGTGAAATGATTAATTGCACCTGAGAGATAGGATGCTTCAATTCTTGAGTAAAACAAAACATGATAGTTTTACGTCTACCCACCATGTAGCAGATGTTAATGTAGGATAATTAAAGAGACTTTACATAGTACATAACAAAATGTTGAAAGAAATAGATACACGTCTAGTAGTAGTAGTAGTAGAAAATACCTTCAATTTGCAATCATTGATTAATACTACCAACGAAACACCAGAAAATTAAACACCAGCAACATTTACAATAGCACCATTACAAAACAGGGATCAATATCCATGCACAACAAAGTGCATAAAAATACAAATACTTACATGATTTCCTATACATAAGTCATCACGTAATGACTTACGCACTGACGATATGGGTACGTAAGTCTGTACAGCCATTACACTTCGTAATCAAGTCTGAACGGCTTTTAATTTCACACCATCCATCAATGGGCCACGCCTTAGGATGTGCGTATAATAAATACATCAAAACGCACTGGGCTCGCCAACTTGCGACGCTACAGGGCTGGCATTGTACAGATCATTCAATAGATAACTTTGTTTGTACTTAAGAATAAATCGTTGTTTGTTTAAAGTAACTTCTATACTTAACTAAACGGTTAGTTCGAGAGGGTTAATGCAGGCATAGATGACGCAGGATACCAGTACCTACCAGATGCAATATCCACGAGGATTGTGCAATATTAATGCGTAGGTGATTTATATCCACAAAGAGTAATGCATCCAAGTGAATCATGGCTCCAGTAGCCTATTGTTATATTCGCCAGCAATGATAATACTTGCAGGAAAGACGGTACTTCCCCCCCTATTTATCGAGACACGTGCTCCTATTATTTCATCATCCCACCAACGCATATCTGACTGTTATTGAACACTATTTAAATGTATTACCAGAATCGATTTTTCCAGAATAAATTGTTTAACAGTCCGTTGATAACTTTACAGGCATAAGTTTCCGGAACACCTTTCATTCATAATACCATTTTATCTATCAATGGATCTGATGATTCACACCTTCACGCTTTACGACGAAATACTTGGAAATTGCTACAGTTTCTATTTTTTATCTGAATTCGTTTCGCTGTTCATACAGCCCTGGTATCGTTCCGTCGTGTGGCGTAATGGACAAATAATATGCACGTCGTCAGCCAACCATTATAATGTTATTTGAGGGCAGGCAATAATTGCTGAGCCAGACTGTTGCTGGCTAAATTCTGTTACCAACTGCTAACGTTCTACCTAGAATTATATTCGCTTCAACTTTTAAATTGCCTAATTTAGTACGCGAATCGATGTTAGGGGTATAACACAGCAAAATGTAGACCCAATTCCACAAGGATGCAAAGTTACACACCCGTCAAACAAAATTCCTTGATAGAGTATTCAGTTTGAAACTAAAATAAAAGCAGCAGACTGTGAGAGCACAAGTTTCCAAGGTAAATCGATGCTAAAATACAGTTTTTTAGTTGGGAAACTTACTTTAGGTTACATAACTCGAAAACGCTCCGAGGCGTTCTAATAAACGTTATAGTCACCTTGACTGTAAGTTATGGAGGAATTGCCTGTCTCCGAAATAAAGACGAGATGCCTAATTACGCGGCAAGTGTGGGTGTGAGTGAGATCGGCACGCCACGCGCCACAAGCAGCCGGCAACAATTATAAATTCAAGGAACTTAGTCGGGTAGCTCCGCTCCGCGCCGCGCCGTGTCGTGCCTTTGAAAGCGAACCACTATTTTGATGCATCAGAGCCGCACTCGAGGGCGTCTGGCTTTCAGTATCGCAGACGGTTTTTGTTGCTTTAATACAGAGATGCGTCGGATTTTGTCGTACATTGAATTGTTTGTCAGCTCAAATATGTACATCGTGTCTACTTGGTATAGACAGATGTTTAAAATTGTACTGGGAACGGAAAGGTTAAAAAATAATCTTATCGAGACAGAAGGACATAAAATTAGCGATCGTAAAAATAAAGTTGATGAAGGTCCAGATATAGTAAACCAAATTATTATAAGAAGAAAAACTTGATTGCTTAAATCGTTATGCGAATATAAAAACGAGTCTAAAGCTGCTAATGACACGTATTACGAATCCACGTTGATGACACTGAAACACTGCAATTATTTAATGGATGTCGCTATTCAAAACGAAGTATTCGCAAGTAATTAATACCCATCAAGTCCCATTTAGTTTGGGAACTACAGAAAACAAGCGGGTTTAGAGACAAACCTAGTAATTTGAGAACTATGTGAAACTTAGGTTACTTGATACTTACGTAGGCACACCGTGTTAATTACCATCGTGCGTCCCTGCCTAAACTTTGTGGAACCGCACATTGCCTAAGCAATATTGGACACCTTTGACGTAACATTCACACAAGTTATTACTAATTCACTACACTGTCAAGTAAACGGTTCGTTACTCTGTAAAGTTTAAAGCCATGTTTTCAGAAGCGTGGAATATTGTGAGACGTAAGACAGAGCCCGTCTCAGAGAAGACGTTAAGTCATATTATTAACACTGCGAGAATCTAAATTGGACGGTGTTTAATGCCGAGATGCCGTAATAATTGTAAGGAATTCATTGAAATATTCAAAGCTAAAAGAGATTTTAATATTAATCAAAAATGCCGTTCCAAGAATTTCCAGGTCCTTATTTTGCGTGCTTTTGATTATCCGCTCATAATATTCTTTTTAAAATGGACCATTAATCTTTAGGTACGAGAAATTTTATATAGAATAAACTCTTAAAACTTTTGTTGCTATGCGTTGAAAACGATTATCCGCAACGCAACAGTTAAATCGCTGAGATTCGTGGTTCAGCTAAAATAATATGTTACTAAAGTCCGCACCTATTAGGTTACGCGAACAAATTCCACTTGCCCGTCTCTCTGATTTGATTATATTACGAATGTGGTGCAACTTTGTTTTTTTCATCTTCTGCAACGTTGTAATGTCCGATCCACAAAGTACATTAAATATTTTTAGATGTTTCTTTTTCAGCAATGTTTATTGTTTTGTTGATCATTTCAACTGGGTTTTCATCTTTATAGATGTGACTATGTGTGTCTAGTCTTTCTAATAGGCCACCCTCTGTTCCCGAGAGTGTCGAAAAACAGCAGCATCCGGCTGCCAAGTGATGATGGATATCAATCACCCCAGATCATGTTCATCTAGAGTAGATTGACATTGATTGTTCTGGTTTATGTGGGAGAGTCGTACACTCATATACGTCATGTACCCCCGTCGACTACATGTTTTATTGTGTGTCATTTTAGCTGAACATCATTTTATTTAGTTCAATATTGAGCAGCATAAAACCGTGAGACTGTTCCACATGCATTCTATCCGCCATTATTAGTAAGACTGAACAAGTACGAAGTTCATCAGTCACATCTGTCGCAATGTTGTCATTTACGTGTGTAACAATTACATCTGTGTTTACGACCACTTAGGGGACAAATAGAGATGAGAAAGCGCAAGCAGACATTTTTCTTCATCAAAGTTCGTAGTGACAGACACGTTCCTCGTTTTCGTGTAACGTTGTCAGTTTGTGCATCTATATTTAGCTGTGCAGTACTATCTGTCCATGTTATCGGCGAACACATTCCGCGATGGAACATATCGCTATATATTTAATGGATCAGAGCATTTTGTTGGCGACCGTCGTCGATGTTGCCCTACACTCGACCTTCCCCGACGCTTCACTGAATCTTCAGTGTATGTAACGTTAATAGTTTGTTGTTTGAAGGAGAAAACTCGACTTCAGCGCTCAGTTTTACTGCGAACGTTAGAATTATTTTCAATATTGAGAGCTACACGATGAGAATTAAAATGTTTATTCTTATGTCTTTTCCGTTCATTGCTTGAACTGGGATAGTGGCGTTTTTATAATGGATATTGTACATTATTATGAACTTAATCCTACAAATGTTTTAAAGAAAAAATTAACTGCAGTGCGAACCTATAGCATGTAAATAATCCACGGCTGGGAATATTTTGTTTCTCATCACATGTGGATCCGTGTCCCATGCAATATACGAGTTGAACGCGGAAAACGAGTAGTTTAATGGTTTTATAAGCACTGCATAGTAATAATGGGGAAGTGACAAGTCGTGTTAGTTTTTGTACACAAGCGAGTGGTACTGGTACGTCGAATGATTGTTTACACGAATAAGGCGGCGCTGCACAACTGTTGGTATAACTGTATGTCCATGTCCATGTATGACTGAATAGAGGAACATATGATGTTGATATCCCGCTATACATGAAAAAAATGTTTTGACTGACTTGCTTAGGTAGTTTTTCTTACAGTATTTGGATGAATATCAATATTTAGAAAACAAAAATAACAAAAAAATATCGAAGCATAGCAAGCTTGTAATTCTAGGTCTACATGACACACCCTACAATTTGATACACGTTCGCGTTTAGACTATAAATGCAATAAGATTCAATAACAAGCCTAATTCGTAAAAACGAACACTCGTTCCTAATGTGCCTACGTCCAAAAATGGATGTCGCCTAACTTAGTCGACATGATGACTCATTAAGTCATCAAACTTTATTCTGGTCCTTTTGGGGTCATTTTAATTTAAAAAGAAAAATGTTTCACCGTATCTGTTACTATACTATTCTAAAGTAGTAACAACTACTTCTACTACGGCAAGGTAATTATGAACACAATTAAGATAGTTTACTTATCTCAGTTGTTACTCTTTAACTGGACCGCAGCCTGGTTAATCTCGTAGCCTCATGGTTAAAATACCGGTTTTAAGTTTGGAGTAAAGTTTAGAATGATTCTGTCACTACCTCGTTGGGCAGGATGTTGTTAAGATTTCGAATATAGAAAAAAACAATAGAACGAATTCTTTATCCAAATTGTCGATTTATTAGGTTAGATGAATAGGTGGCGCATCTGTATTAAGGAGTTTTTTTTCTGGCCACATTATAAACTGACAGTTTAGTGTTGAAATTGCGAAGCGTCTTCTCAGCAGCAGTAAAAAGGCACTAGCTGAACTATTTTTACGTGTTGCCCGATGCGTTTACATTAAATAGACCCAGGTGCTTTAAATATTTTATAGACCAATAAATAATACGACCCGTTACCCGGGTTCCTATAATAAAATAACCAGCCGTAATATTGGTATCGTATCGTCTTTTATCCGTTAGAAAGTAATGGCGTTTTATTTCACAGATTCATAATTCTAATTCATATTATTTGCAAGCGACTCCTGTCCCTATGGTGTTTTTCTAAACATTTATACTGCCATTTGTTTGTTTGTAATTTACTTAAGCCAAAAAACCAGTTGATGGAAACACATTCAAAATAACAAATTAGATAATAGTATGTTTTCTAAATTATAAGCGCCCACTCAAATCCCATTCGTAGCAAAAAAACCAACCCACGGAGCAATTAGCTATAAACTATTTAGTATTTCTTCTCATATAAAAATGTTATTGGAATCGAAATATTTCGAAGCAATACGAATACAATTGTTACTATATACATAGTTATTTCTATTTGTACATATAATACCCAGTCTACTCTTATTATATTTCATAATAGAAAATGGTACGAAAAATATATAATAATAATTCTTTACAAATAAGAAATAATAAAAGAGCTTTTTGCTCCAGACTTGCCAATTAAAATGACGGTAGAAAGAAAAAATATATACAGAAAAATACATTTCAAAGAAATAGAGAGGTATCGAATGAAATAATAATTGGAGATAAATTAAATATCAGTATAGAATATCATTGCTAGAAATAGTAAAAAAGGAACAATATAGATTTATTATTCAGTTTTACAGACATTACTATTTATGGTAGAAAGGAATGGTGTTATTCATCCTGTATAGTTGCATCTCTTTTTCGCACAAGTAACGTATTGATATCGATTTTAGCAAATAGTGCTGTTAAATACTTGATAATACTAGTTAATTACTAATACGTGTATATACATTGACAGGTTAAATGCTGAGAGGGGAGGTGTTGACCTCTACCTCCAGTTACTGTTTAAGATTAATCGTTGCGTAAGACCTCACTATGTAAGGCCAGGTACAATAAGGCACAATTTATTATCGCAAAAAGCACGTCTTTCTGTTTGTTTATCCGTACAGTATTAGAAGCCAATGTTTCTTGATATGGTCAAGAACTAATTAATTATTGTCTTTTTATAATGATGTCTGCAGTGTTAGAAACTTTAATAATTTTAGGAATAATATAGAATGAGATAAATTATTTGTGATGATATTAATAAAATAATAAAAATGGTTAAATCACAAGGTAGGTTACACATGGGAATGCACGTGATGAAACGCTGCAGCAAAGCTGGTAATATCATCAAAATACGGATACATTTGGCTGATTTGTAAGAAATCTGCATTGCATTTGCATTTGGCTGTAAAATGCTGAGTTTTCGGATATGTAGAGCAGTACTCGTGACGACATATTGCGCTGAGCTACATTTAATATTCTGCCGAGCTAAAACGATTCTCACAATCATGTAAAGCGAAATAAGTAGAGTGCTTTGCGTTATATATCTTTTTTCTTAGTCATAGGACAATGTAAGGGCATTGCGACTCACATACAAACTAAAGTCGAGTCGTGACTGCCCGTGATCACTCAGAGTATGACATTACTACACGACACATACGATTCAAAAGATTAACAAAAACAAAGCGGCCCATTCATTATGCGACGGACGCGTCGCTCACACTTTTATCGCAGTCGTAAAATCGTAGTCTACTGTCTCGACCATTACTGTATTATATAAGGACTGACACCTGGGCTAAGTCAGTGTTACAACAGGCTATACATCAGTAGACCAGTTCAACAATGTTATTTACAATATAAAAATAAAAATATCGACCTCCAAATGTTTTGTGTTACGTACATTATCACAACAAGGTTATTACTGTTTTAATACTTATTGATACGTGGGGAAAGTCCTATTTGTTTTGTACAAAATTATTATTAACAGATAACAGTAACTTTTTAATCCTTTCAGCTACAATGAAACGGGAAATACATTTAAGAGACAGAAACGTGTCTCACGTTCTTGCCTCAAGTTCTCGTCAGCTGGCAAGGTGAAGCGTAACAATTAAAATTTAAAGCGAAACGATCGCAGCGCGGGCGCGTTTACGTCGCGTCGCGGGCGGCGCGGCCTGTCACGTTGCCGTCAATGTGTAGCCCGCCTTACCTCATGAACAGCCAACCATACACGACACGACTACCCACGCGACGAGCCATACAAAACGTATGAGAAATAAATTGCCATCGAAACAAAGGCACGCCTCTTTGAAGATCAGGCCTTTTACTACGACTTTACCAGACACGGATGAGAATAAAAAGATTGAGTACACATTCAAGGAATAATGTGCGCTACGAAAGAGACTGGTTTATATCGTATTCTAACAGGTAAGATAAAATAACAAATATTTCTTTATGGCCGCTTCGTTGTCAAAGGCAAAAACAATTGAGATTGAATGATAAGAAACTCCATGGATGAAGAAACATCAAAAACTTGTTTTACATTCAATCACTCGGGGACCGGTCGGCCATAATAGAATTTCGTTTATTTTGTTATATTCATAATTTCCTCCAACTGACATTCAACAAATTACTTTAAAGATTTACATAACAATATGGATGTTTTTATTATTTAAAACTGAATATTATATTCAAGATACACATTGTATTCATCGTGCCTAGACCGCGTAGTAACTTAAAATAGTGTACCGCAGGTACCGCAGGTATACAGCAGCAGTGAGGCTCGTACAAACGGATCGATAAATAATTGCAGGAGCAAACAAATAACAACTGTTATTATCGAATGTAACAAAGTATCATTCTTTATCTTTGTTCTACTTATACTTATGGAGCTAATTAAAAGTTTTTCCTTAGACAATAAAACAGAACACGGCTATAAAGGCGGCTCGAGGAGGAAGGAGGCGAAAGCGAAGGCGCTCAGAAACTGATAACTTACATAGAATTTAAGTAGCGAATGCGTTTCGCTTTATCTGCTTGTTATTTAGTTAGCGAAGGGCGGGGCCGGGCCCGCTCCACGTATTGATTGATGGCCCAACACGTGGACCAGGGGCGACACTGACATTACACGAAATACGCTACTTCTTTTACAACACACCCACACCGTACAGCGAAACGACCCGACACGAGGCAGCCCTACAGCCCAGTGCTCAGTGAGCCCCGAGTAATCAGTACATCTCATCGAATACTCAATTAACATCCCTACACACGGACCGGAGATTACCGTACAGCGCACCGCACCGCGTATCAGATGATCGCGCTTAACCTTCGCGTGTCATGTATCCAACTATACAGTACGACGCCCCTACCGAATTAAAGGGGCTACGATTGCGATTCAATCAAAGCCCAATGAATTCACTATAAAGAGAAAGGGTTGCGACACTCAATCAACTGAACGTCCGCGTCCAATCGAAACTATGAATAATGTAAAGTTGAAGCACGTTTTTTAAGGTACCTTCAAATTAATAGAGGGACGCGAACAGGACAAAAGCGGTGGTGAAGGAGCGAGGATTTCCTGAAGACAATGGCCGTAATCAAGCCGGTACGAGCGTGATTACCGCGCCGACTGCCCCCCGCGCCCGCCCCGCTCTGCTACACAATTTATAAGCTTACGACAAACAAGCTTGTATTACCACCAAATACGATGATTAAAACGCATTGAAAGTCAGACCGAACATTCAGAGCGCTCGCTTGTGCGGCTCTCATTCAATCGCGCTTCATAAACACTCGAATTAAGCCGTGATTGGAAATATATTCCGCACTCGTACGCTGCACACGGAATTCAAGGTCCGGAATTAATTTGCAAAATGCAACGAAGAAACTCTCATCAAACGTGACTGAACGTATCGAGTTTGTGCCGAACGGGACCCGACTGTAACAAAATGGAGAGTCATTTTCGTCGGCAACACGAAACGCATCGCGTAAAAGACCCAATACACGGACCAAATTCAATTTGCAAATCTTCCCGGCAGCAAAGAAAGAATCAATTTATACAATCGCCTAAGCGAATTACGTCATTCGGCTGCCGAATATCGTAACGAGAAAAAAAAGGCACCAAGGCCGATGGTCGGTGCAGTCCGTTCACTTGCGATCTCGACCGGTTGGGATGGCAATACATAAACAGTGCGAGCGTGGATCATGTCCGTGCACCGTGAGCTCGGAGCGCGCCAAAAGTCAAGGTGAACCGGTGCTGTTTACAGAGACTGTGTTGTGCT